TAATCAGAGTCTGATAGACCCTTATGAAAATGAATTATGAAAAATATACAAGTGACAATTATTTAAAAGAACCATAAAAAAAACTTATATATTGTACATTATGCGCCGATAAAATAGTTCCATAAATAGATAATAAAAAAAATAATAATAATAAAAAAAAAAGGTCAGAATTGACTTACTTTCATGTTGTAGTTTGTGGGACACAAAAGGTGAATTTCTGAGAAATTATGCAGCTCTTTCCATAAAATAATTTATACTTTCCATCTGTCAGGCTCTAAAAAAATGAACATTATGAAAATGAATTAAATTCAGAAAAAATACCAAAATTAAAATGATTTAAAAGTACCATAAAAGCAGTCAATATTGTCATAACTACTTACAGTAAATGTCACTCTTTTAAAAAAATATTCATCAAGCGAATGTTTCCTTTAGCATTAGAAGGCTGGCAGATTTAAACACACACCTGTGGCTCCCCAAAAATACCCGTAAGGAGGAAGCTGGAGGAGTTCCACAATAGATCTGAGGTAGCACCAGCTCTGTGACAGCTTTGGCAGCTACTAATAATCATTACGATCACACTGATCCCCACACACAGCTGTAGTGTGTGAGCTGTAGCCACCTGTTAACCCACCTCTGATGAGGTGACCGAAATAAATCTGAGGCGAAAAGCTACTTTTTGGTCCCAATCTTGCCTGACTGTGCCGGTTCACAAGAGATTGGTAGATTGCTGTTTTCACCCCTGGCCAAGAGAAATTGTTTAATCTGAGGTCCATACGATGGGGTCATGGGCCGAGCACTTTGGCTGGAGTGATTTTTCTTCAACAGTCTAAACGCTTCTGTGCAGCGCTGGTCAAGAGTGCAGCGCATGCACTGCTGCATTTATGGTTTTATGTTTCGTGCACTGATGATAAGAAGCCAGAAACTCAGACCAAAACAAATTTGAGAAGTTCTTTTCATGGAGGAATTATATGTACAAAAATAAAATAATAAAATGCAAATATTTCACATGCAAGTGCTTCAGTTAAAGCAGGCAGCATAAGCTGTTATTTAAAAATAATATACTTTTCAAAGGTGTTCGTCTTCTCTGCTCACCAAAGCTGCATTTATTTGAAAAATACAATAAAGTCACTAATATTGTAAAAATGTTAGAGTTTAAAATAGTTGTTTTCTATATGAATATATTTAATAATGTAATTTATTGCTGTGATCAAAGCTGAATTTTCAGCATCATTACTCCAGTCTTCAGCGTCACATGATCCTTCACAAATCATTCTAATATGCTGATTTGCTGCTCAAGAAAGATTTATTATTATTATCAATGTTGTGCTGCTTCATATGTTTGTGGAAACTGTGATACATTATTTTTTTCAGGATTCTCAGAAAAAATAAAAAATAAAATAAAATCCTGAGACCCTAAACTTTTGAAATATAGTGTGTATATTCTAAGAAAAAAAAAATTCACATTCTTTCAATTACAAGAGAGAATACAGAGAATAATTTATATACATTAATATTTTATTAAATTTTTCATATTAATATTTATAATTATTTGTAGACTGTACATGCATTTCATGTAAAACTACTATTGCGACAATATTAATATTTATAGCCAAACTGTGTGGGATAAGTTAAATGCCAACGTTTAATATGTAAGGTTAGGGGTTTGTTCAAATATGAGAAACAATATCAGTGATACCTGCATTTACAAACATTATTTAAAATCCCACAGCTTCATAAATTCTCCCACCTACAACATCAACACATAAAAACACGGTCTCATTATCTGAGTGATTCAACACCTCCACCATTACAGCAGAGATGCCACTTAAACAGACGTGTGCCTTTACTCACTGAATCGTGTGGAAATAATGACCAGCAGACTTTGATTTCACAGACCACTCCAGCAAACGCTTGCTCACACCAGCTGTACAGATGAAAGCATTCAGCTCGACACCAGCTGAGGGAGACGGCAAAGCACGCACAGGGAAAAAGCGCAGGTTTGGCTGTGTACTCTTTCACAAGCCAGAAAAATATAAGGTAACAAAGCAACAGCTGAGTATCTAAGAAGATGAACAGATGTAAGATTTCAAATTATGTCATTGTAAAAGCCAGTGAGATCATTTAAGGCAAGAGACGTAATCCCCTCGCTTTTTCTAATATAAAACCAAACATGTTCACAGGCTTTGAGTACAAAATGTTCAAAAAAGACACTAAAGCAATTCAGGTAGTGACAGCACAACATGCTTTTAGAGATGCCAGAAGACTCATTTTTGATTTATTTTATAAAAGTGCAAATTAAAACAACTATTAATGCAAATCCCTGCTTCAGAAGATAAATTAAGCTTGTTTGTTTAAAAACTTTCAGTGTTCTAACATAAATACATTTTTTCATGAATAAAATAATCATTGCATGCGCAGTCAAGGGCACATCGTGTTTCATTTTTGCAACAAAAAAAAATCTCAATTTTTGCCACAATGCAGAAGGAAAGCATTTTATGTCTGACTAAGCAGAGAATTTGAGCTGGCAAACTCCTGCAGATCATGAAATGACACACAGAATACTTTATGTGCCCTACTGCAGGGCGCAAAACTCACTTTATTGGCTTCTTATACTGTACAATGAATCTGTATTTCAGTAGCCCACAACAAATAGGTCACAAGGTCATATTTACACAGCTATGTTGCTACTGTGCTGGTTTATACAATTTATAGGAACAGGTTACTGACATTAGTCCACAAAAATCTTAAAGGGGTCATATGATGCGATTTCAAGTTTTCCTTTCTCTTTGGAGTGTTACAAGCTGTTCGTGAATAGATAAGATCCCTGAAGTTGCAAAGACTAAAGTCTCAAACCCAAAGAGATATTCTTTATAAAAGTTAAGACTCGTCCATGCCCTCGTTCTAACACGCCCCCACATGTCTACGTCACTGTGTGGGAAGATTTGCATAACGCCGCCCAAATGTTCACGCAAAGAAAGAAGGCGTAACTTTGATTTTCGCTGTAGTATTGTTGCTGCCGCCGCCATGTCGTGAAGACGCTGCGTGTTTCGTTGTGAAAGCGAAACTACTTTGTTTGGTCTTCCAAAAGAGGACACGACTAGATCAGTGGTTAAGTTGTATATACAACACTGTTCCACAACAGTTCAACCCAAATATTTAGATGTGTGCAACGCATTTTACGCTTGTTGTTTGTCATTTCTCCGATCACAAATGCAGACATGGTTTTATGTTTACGCGGCGCGATGCAACGCAACGTGTAAAAAGACAGTATATGTCATTATAATCAGTAATTATGTCCCCACTGGATGCAACAAATGCCTCGTTTATAATGGGTTTTAATGTTTTTGTCTCGTCGCTTCGGGACACGGCATTAGAGTATGCTAGGGGCGTAACATTTCCGTCACACGCTTGAGGTATTCGGCCAATCACAACGCACTGGATAGCTGGCCAATCAGAGCACACCTCGCTTTTCAGAATGATGAGCTTTGTAAAAATCGATGGTGGTTTGGAGAATGGATTGATGGGAATAGGATAGGATAGGATAGAATAGAATAATCTGTCCACTGTAACCCTTTAGAGGATAAGCAGTTTTCAGGATGGATGTCGGATTGGACAGATAGATGGACAGATGGATATGAAATAATAATAAAAATAATGCTTAACATCCCTTTTTGTGTTCCACAGAAGAAAGAAAATCATGACACAAAGGTAAATATTGACAGACTTTTCATTTTTGGGTGAACCATCCCTGCAAAGGCGGACAAACTGCTATGGATGTTCATTACAAAGGGATTACAAGTAAATCCTAGTGTTATTCAAAGGGAATCAGACTTAAAAAGATATTTGTTTCGTCCTCTTTATTTACTGAATGAAATCCTCAAAAGAATAACGAAGAGGAGTCTGTTTTGAAATGTGTGAAATGCATGTCCTCTGCTGAACCGCCACTGAGGACTCGACTCTGTATCATCCAGAAAACACACATGCGCTCAAGGCCACAGAGAGAGTCGGCGATTCAGCAGATGCACGTGGAAGCCATTCAGCTGGCTGTCTGAACCAGAATGCCTCTTTCACACCAGCCATCTGTGAATTTATCACTGACATACATTAAAATGATATGCGCCTCCAGAAAGCGTCTGAAAAACGAGCTGTTTGCTGTAGCGCCGGGTCAAAGAACCGCACGATCCAGCTCGCCAAGACTTTTAATCAAACTAAACACCAGCACTGGGGAAGATCCAGAAAACATCAGTCACAGTTTGCAGATAAGTCTGTTTCTACAGACGGTCCAATTGCCTTCGCAGTGGTATTTTATGACATGCCTGAGAAAGCAGGTGCAAATTCAGACATACGAACACCTACTGTATTAAATGGGAAAGGAAATTTTGCTTCATTGAGCGTATTCAGAGTACACTTTCTTGAAGTCATTCACAAACTGGAAAATCCATCCGAAAATTTTTTGGGAGTCTTGATCCAAAGGCTCTCCGAATTTTATCTGTGGAAGAAAAATGAACCACATGAACAGTGATGCTGTTTATTCATATATCGCTTTATGCAATACAAATTGCTTCACTGCTTGTAAAATATTTGTTAAAAACCTGCATTTCTAGTGTGAACACTGATATTGTCACGTTTATTCCTATATCACTTAATACAATAAAAATGGCTTCATATTGTAGAATGCCTCTTTCACACCAGCCATCTGTGAATTTATCACTGACATACATTAAAATGATATGCGCCTCCAGAAAGCGTCTGAAAAACGAGCTGTTTGCTGTAGCGCCGGGTCAAAGAACCGCACGATCCAGCTCGCCAAGACTTTTAATCAAACTAAACACCAGCACTGAGGAAGATCCAGAAAACATCAGTCACAGTTTGCAGATAAGTCTGTTTCTACAGACGGTCCAATTGCCTTCGCAGTGGTATTTTATGACATGCCTGAGAAAGCAGGTGCAAATTCAGACATACGAACACCTACTGTATTAAATGTGAAAGGAAATTTTGCTTCATTGAGCGTATTCAGAGTACACTTTCTTGAAGTCATTCACAAACTGGAAAATCCATCCGAAAATTTTTTGGGAGTCTTGATCCAAAGGCTCTCCGAATTTTATCTGTGGAAGAAAAATGAACCACATGAACAGTGATGCTGTTTATTCATATATCGCTTTATGCAATACAAATTGCTTCATTGCTTGTAAAATATTTGTTAAAAACCTGCATTTCTAGTGTGAACACTGATATTGTCACGTTTATTCCTATATCACTTAATACAATAAAAATGGCTTCATATTGCAATTGTTAATGTCTAATTGTAAGTCAAAATATAAATACAAATATTTGTAGATATTGTGTAGCATTATTTTTATACATAAATATAAAATACATTAATAATATTATTTATAAATATATATTTATATAAAATGTTATTAATAATAGAAAGCTTTTTAAAAATATTTTTAAGTATGTATTTTTCAACTTATTTGGTGTCTACTAACAGTAGTAGGCAAAAGATAACACATCGTTCAAAATAAAAAAACACAACAAAAGCAAATATTAAAAAACAAATAATTGTTAATATCCTGCATTTCTAGTTACTTTGCAAATATTGGTTGAAAATTTGAATTTTTTTAACCAACTAATGCTTTGATCCACCGTGCAATTACATTCATACCTGCAGACACCAGAAATGCCATATTTATAATCGTAATGCTGAAAAACTAAGAGAAATAGACTATATAATGGCTAGAAAACCTGTTTTATTTCCAATCACTCTCAGTTTCTCTCTTCATCCGAGCTCTGTTCTCCCTATTATTTCTGGCTCAACAACCGCAAGTTGCTGTTTGCTGTATTTTTGCCCAAGACTGAAAGTTTGGGCTGTAATTGTGAAACTAAAGCGATTCTCATCCTGGCAGGAAACTCGCTCCTCATCCTGTCAAGCTCACAATAGGCTGAACTACTCGCAGTCTTTATGGATGGTCTTGAAGAAAAATGGGACAACTGGGAAATACATAACACATTACAAACAGAGGAAAAGGATTCTTCTTAAGAATTAGATTTTTATTATTAAGAAAGCTGTGTATTTTTTGGCCCTGATTCAGTCCAGCTGGGCTTTTATTGCAAAAAGCAGTTACATTGTTTTGTTTTCTCTCAGAAATAAGTGGAAGCATAGCACATACACAGCTGTTCAGAAGTCTGGGGTCTTGTGCTCACCAAGGCTGCATTTATTTGATCAAAAATACAATATTTATAGTAATATTTTGAAATATTTGTACAATTTAAAATAACAGTTTTTTATTTGAATATATTTAAAAATATAATTTATTCCTGTGATCTCACCAAGGCTGCATTTATTTGATCAAAAATACAATATTTATAGTAATATTTTGAAATATTTGTACAATTTAAAATAACTGTTTTTTATTTGAATATATTTAAAAATATAATTTATTCCTGTGATGTAAAGCTGAATTTCCAGCATCATTACTCCAGTCTTCAGTGTCACATGATCCTTCAGAAATCATTCTCATATGCTGATCTGCGGATTTTACATTTCTTATTATTATCAAAGTTGAAAGCAGTTGTACTGCTTCATATTTGTGTGGAAACAGTGATAGATCTTATTCATTCTTCTTTTTCTTTGATGAAAAGAAAGTTCAAAAGAACAGCATTTATTTGAAATAGAAATCCTTTGAAACATTATAAATGTCTTTACTCTCGCTTTTCATCAATTTAATGCATTCCTGCTAAATAAGGAAATATTAATTTCTTTCAAAAACAGTCTTACTGACCCTAAACTTTTAAACGTTTGCGTAAATCATGATGTAACTTGAAAAATTTCTGAGGTGTCAAATTGACTGAATTTCAGGATTAACTTGGATTATATTAGCAAAGCAAATTTTATTTTGCTTTATAGAGCTGCAATTAATTTTTCTATATATTGTTTCTGTATGTTGTGTATTATTATTATTATTATTCATTTTTTTTACAAATATTTTAGTTAAAAAAACTTTTTTTATTATTGATAACAATTTTTATATTTTTATTTTTGTATTTATTTTCTTTATTTAATAATAATTTCTAATAATAAAAACAATAATAATAATTTGATGTCTACTAACTCTGGTTTTCAGCCAAAGCAAATAACAAATATATTTTAAAAATCTAAACGAAAGCAAACAAATATCCAACAACAAAACAATGAAAATAAATACACATTTTTTTTAAATGTTTAATTTTTAGTTGCTTTGCTAATTTTTGTTGCAAATTCACCTCTGGGCCACTGTAGGCAATCTTCTGTGCTCATAACATATTTATTGCTATAAACAAACTATGGACATCATAAAGAGCTTATCATAAGTCAGTCTCAAACCAGCATCGTGTCCCTCACAGTGAGACCAAAAAAAAGCCCAGTGTAACCTTGATGAATGGGTGGGCTGAAATATTTTCCCCTCTTCTACCTCAGTCCACCTGGCACAGATAAGCAGAGAAAGGCCAATCTCCAGATAGCCGGAGATCCCGGCCCATCCGTCTCCCAAAGCAACACAACAGAAGATATTGAAATAATAACTCAAGGATTACCAATATGTCAGTGTAGAGCTTCCTCATCTCCTCACTCCTCTTCATCAGCTGTCTGAGATCAGCCTCATGCTTCTCAATGGCCGCCTAGAGCCGGAGATAAAGGAAGAGGTGTTATGGCTGCGCTTTCTCCTTCTTTTCGTTTTTGGAGAAGTAGCACTAGAATTCTTAACACTACCAGCCTCAGAGGATTTTGATTACCGGTATTTCTCTCCAACAAGACTGCATCAGAAAAGCTTTAATACAGTGAAAACGTGTATCAAACAAGCAGCTCTCATGGGCCTATGCTTTATACAAGCTAGATTAACTTCCTTTCTCTGTGGAGTCGTTCAAGAATAATGCAGTGCATGTGATTTTTTTTTTAAAACAGCCTGGCTGGTCTTTTCAGTATAATGAAAATGAGTAAGGACAGGGGCTGTCCAGCTCCAAACTGAGTAAAAACCAGCATAAAAGCATCATAATGTGTCATGTGACTTGCTATTCTTCTGAAGTCATATAATAGCTCTGTGTGAGGAAAAGACCAACATTTGAATCATTATTCACTTAGAGAAGTAGCTTTGTCCAGTTTGAGTCACACTATTGAATTGGATCTTTGATTCTTGAGTGAATCACAGAATCACTGATCTGGTCACAGTCATTAAGAGCTTGCTTGAAGAGAAGATTATCAAGGAATGACTAAAATTGCAATGACTTAGAATATATCACACAATATATTTCTTTTTATGTTTTAATGATCCTTTTATGGTGCTTTTGAAAAGGAAAAAAAAGCTTCAGTTCCCATTCATTGTTATTGACTAATAACAATGATTCAAAATATTCCAGAGAAAAACTAATTAAATCACATTAACATGCCATTAATACCAATGTTTTCTTTCAAATTCATAATGAATTCAAGTAACTTGATTATGTGATACAATACAGCAAACATAATTGGTTATTGGGGAGGGGAGGTATCCAAAGGACATCAACTGGTCACTGGGGGTTCCTCAGGGATCAGTTCTTGGACCCCTCCTCTTCTCCATATACACTACATCACTGGGTCCCATCATACAGGCACATGGCTTCTCCTACCATTGCTATGCTGATGACACACAGCTCTATCTCTCATTTCAACCAGATGATCCAACGGTAGCTGCACGGATCTCAGGCTGCCTGGCGGACATCTCGGCATGGATGAAAGAACATCACCTACAGCTCAACCTGGCAAAGACTGAGCTTCTTGTCTTCCCTGCCACTCCAACTCTACAGCATGATTTCAGCATCCAGCTAGGTTCTTCTGCAATTACCCCATCAACTTCGGTCAGAAATCTTGGTGTAATCTTTGATGACCAGCTGACCTTCAAAGACCCCATTGCAAAAACTGCTCAATCTTGCAGGTTTGCATTGCACAACATCAGAAATATCAGGCCCTTTCTAACGGAGCATGCTGTACAACTTCTTGTCCAGGCCCTTGTCATTTCTAGGCTGGACTACTGCAATGCTCTTCTGGCTGGACTTCCATCAAGCACAATCAAACCTCTACAAATGATTCACAATGCAGCGGCACTACTGGTCGTCAATGAGCCCAAAAGAGCCCATGTTACGCCTCTCTTTATCTCCTTGCACTGGCTACCGGTTGCGGCTCGAATCAAGTTCAAGTTGATTGATGCTTGCATATAGAACAGCCACAGGCTCAGCACCCGCCTACTTTCACTCACTACTACGAATCTACATCCCCTCCAGAAGTCTGAGATCCGCTAGTGAGCGACGCCTCATGGTACCATCACAGAGAGGCTCAAAATCCCTTTCCAGAACATTCTCGTTCACCATTCCTGGCTGGTGGAATGATCTTCCCACCCCTACCCGGAATGCTGAATCCCTGACAATTTTCAAGCGACCCATCTCTTTCGACACTTGACTTCATCCTAAATTAAAAAAAAAACTTTATTTTTTCCTTCCCTTTCTAGCTTGTACTTATTTGAACAAATGCCTGAAACTTTGTATTACGAGCACTTCCTGTGTCTGTTTGCATCTTTAAGAAGAATTGCGTTATGTATTCCCCAATTGTAAGTCGCTTTGGATAAAAGTGTCTGCAAAATGACTAAATGTAAATGTATTTGTAAATTACCTTTAAGTCTTTGAAGAATTTGGTTTGATGATTGACTTCATTTTTACTTTTACTGTATGTTTTCCTGTACTGGACAATCTTCTGAAATTCATTCTTCACTACTAAATGGTGACAAAAGGGGAAAAAATATGTGATTAAGGACATTTATAATGGACCCCCTACACTCTGTATAGCAATGCCTTTATGCGTTAATGCACAAACAAAGCCAAGCAGCATCATGTTTGAATGTAATGCTCAGCTGATTAAAAAGTTATAAACTGTATGAAATGCTTGACCATGCTTGAATAAAGCAGTGAAATTGTGATATTCTGTAATCAAATGTGCTCAATCAAGCATCCCTTTCTGAAACACTGACATCTACAAACGAGCTTAGTGCAGCAGCATCACAAAATACATCTGATGAGAGCGTCCACGTACCGTCCACCTCTGCTGTCAGACCTTTAACCGAAGCTGCAGGAAAACCACAAAAACACACAATCAGAAGGCATTCGATCAAATCAGCCCCAAAAACATCTATCACATCTTCCCTTGCAATGAAATTTTGATTAGAGTACCTCCAGGAACAGTCTCAAATTCCGCAAGCTCCAGGAAAAAGGTGGCCAAACGTGGTTCTCGCAACATGATCTGCTCCACAAGGGCATGCAGCAAGGTGAAATTCTGATTGTTCCCACGCAGCTGAGAAAGCTGGGAAAAAGAGGGAAAATAATTAATGTGTTTGTGGAAGTTTTTCCATGCACCTGCGCTTGAAAATTGATGATACATGTGCTCTCCCCAAAATCTATGTAGACATAATTTTAAGGCATTGTAGACACTTATTTTGATTTAGCCAAAATGCAGTGAAGTCAGTCCCACAATTGTATTGTGACAACCTCAATGGGAAAAAAAATTACATTTAAGATGGCAGATGAGGGGACAGAAATTACTACAAATAAATGTTATGCAATAAATGTATTCCATTCATTACTAAAAAAAGCAAATAAAAAAAAACATTATATGAAATGATAATAACATAATTATTGAATAAATAAATGTAATAAATACTGTACAAATATCCATACATTCATACATACATACATATACAAAATAACTGGTTAAAATAAAAATAAATAAATAAATAAATGTAAAATATAAATATTAAAATAAAATATACAAAACAAAACGTATTTTATTTCAGCTAGTTGACAAGGCAACATTTACCATTTTTTATTTAGTTTAACATGATAAAATAACTAAAACTTAAATAAAAATTTATAAACACAATATAGACATATAAAAACTAAAAAGGACAAAAACACAACAAAATTACTAAAACTTTAACTAAATTTAAAATGAAAATGGAAAATGGAAAAATGAAAACTTGATATATTAATAACCAATATATTAATTAAAACTACAATGGTATTGGTATCTCAGTTATATAAAAATAACACTCCAACATACTAACAATAATTTATATTGGAATCAATTGACTGTCAAGTACAAAGTGCTATTTGTGCAACAGTTGCCAATGTAGAGTGTTACAATCTGATAACTTTTAGGTTCAATAACAGTCGAGATGCTTCCTTAGAAGGCAGCTGTCTGGCAGCGGTTGGGAACAATTAGGAGGAGGTCTGGGAACGATTGGTCTTTTATCCCCAATCAAATATCCCATCTGTCCTGAAGGTATTGGAGGTAAACAGATATTTATCTTGGGTGTGCATTTGTGAGAGTTTATGCATGCATCTTTGAATACCAATATATTGCCCAAGGCCAGAGAAAGAGTGAGGTTTGACAATTCAACACCCACATGCATATTACCATCAGCTAAAAATGGAAGATAACGTCCTTGTACCGAAGCGCATCTCTATTGTGCACATGTGAAAAACCGGTTAACATTTTTACAAAATGATCTCCTTGACTTCTCAAAGGTTCTGCTCTCTGATTAACCACAATGCAAATATTATTGAGTGCCGCAGCCTCAGACAAGTGCTTTTTATTAAAGATTGAGAATTTGTACAGTAGGCTAAAGGGTGATAATGATAAGTGATAAATGCATGTCTTGATCATGCAGAAGAAATATAGCTGCTAATTCAAAAAAGTTTCACGCTTATCCAGCAGTAAAGTGAATAACCCAAGCACTTAAAATGAATGAAGTGATACATGCTAAACACAAACGCTCCTATCTCAGTTGCATCTTTTTAAAGTAAGAAAATGTAAAGCAAGTACTCATGCCACAGAAACCAGCATGCATGTTTAAGAGCGACTGTTTGAACTGCTCTCCGCAGAGAATAAGAGCGGAGATCTATCAGGCTCTCTAGACCTGTTATTTGTGGTAATGCATGTAGACATGAAGCCACTGCGACAATTTCAGCTGCAGCTAATTTAAAACTCAGAGGGGGCTAAATGGCGATCTTCAGATGGGTGGAAATGGGGCCTGTTCTCTGTTTCTAGGTTGTTGTTTACTATTTCAAACCCGAACCCATTCTACAAAACTAAAAGATGACCAGGAGGAATCAAATACACTGTTTGTTCAAAGCATAGGCTTAGTTCAGACAGATCTGGTGGTATCATCTAAAAAAAATCTAAATATATGAATGTGTTTTATAATTTTACTAAAATCAGATTTTTGTATATTTGGTGGCTTCTCTTGACTACGCAATAAATAAATAAATGCATACACCACTGTTCAAAAGTTTGGGGTCAGTAAGATTTTTTAATTCAGCAAGGACACATTAAATTGATCAAAAGTGACAGTGTATCCTTCTACATTGTTACTATTGTAATGATATTGTATTGTATTGAGCAGCAAATCAGCATATCAGAATGATTTCTGAAGGATCATGAGACACTGAAGACTGGCGTGATGATGATGGAAATTCAGCTTTACATCACAGGAATAAATTACATTTTAAAACAAATTCAAATAGAAAACTGTTCTTTGAAATTGTAATAATATTTCACAATATTACTGTTTTTACTGTATTTTTAATCAAATCAATGCAGTCTTGGTGAGCAAAAAGAGACTTCTTTCAAAAACATTTAAATGTCTTACCCACTCTAAAATTTTGAATGGTAGTGCATGAAAAAAATATTTTATTTTATTTTATTTATTTATTCATGTGATGATAAAAAGAGCACTGGGATATTTAAGAAACATAAAACAACAGTTATTTATATAGTTTAGCAGTCATTATACAAACATACTTGACCATAAATTGCTACAATTCACCATATTCCAGAAAGTAGTTTGGTCTGGAAATCCTGTTTGGTCTCAAATTCACTTTAAACAGTGCCATACAGTAAGTTCAAATGTTAATATAGATTTAAGACTAAATGTGCAAAGTTCTTCAAATTTCATAAATCGATAACAAAAAATAAAATTATATATTAAATGATAAAATGCCTTTTTTTTTAAATGTCATGATGACATGGCACCCATGGCAGGGTGTTTCATTAATCGCAAAAGTTTTAATTCATCACTCTAAAATGAGCATGCAGTTATGATCTATGTCATATTTCTATGGATGAAGTGCAGGGGGGTTGCACTCAGATCCTCATTAGCAAAGGAGGAAGTCATTCAGCTTATGGTGCAAGTGCCCTTTAAATCTTGCCACTGAGGAATTGGGTTTCAAGCACGCTGGCTGCAAAAATCGATACAAATTACCTGCGTGTCACTAATGACTCAGCGAGCTCTAAAAAAAGGCCATGCCGTGTGGCTAATGAATTGGGCCGCTGCGGCAAGAGTTTTTAGAGTCAAACAACAAAGAGAAACTCGCTGCGTGGCACATCTGATTTGTGTAGTGGATGCAGTCGTACAAACATGAGTAAACCATAGGGCATAGTGGCAAGTACGTCACGATATGACACGCCACAAGATGCCATGCAATGCATCATAATAGAGTGCAACAACAGGGTTTTGGAAGTAAAAAAGTATTAAAGGGGTCATATGATGCGATTTCAAGTTTTCCTTTCTCTTTGGAGTGTTACAAGCTCTTGGTGCATCAAGAAGATCTGTAAAGTTGCAAAGACTAAAGTCTCAAATCCAAAGAGATATTATTTCTAAAAGTTAAGAGTCAGCCACGCCTACCTGAAACGGCTCGTTCTAACACGCCCCCACATATCTACGTCACTATGTGGAAATATTAGCATAATGCCACCCAAATGTGCACGCAAAGAAAGAAGGCGTGGTTTCAGGAACACCGGTAGTGTTGATGCAGCCATGTCAGGGAGACGCTGTGTGATTCAGTGCGAAAGCAAAAGCACTTTATTTGACCTTCCGGAAGTAGATGCAATTAGGAATCATTGGTTAAGATGTATTTACAACAGAACAGCACAACCCAGATGTTCGAATTTGTGCAACGTATTTTATGGACGACCGTTTTTTGAACCTAGAAGAGTACAAGGCTGGCTGTGCACAAAGGCTATTTCTAAAAAAAAAAAAGGGTCAATTCTGACTTTGCTATGACAATCTGGCGCTTCTGAATCAGCGACTGTAAGTATGTTTTGTTATTAGTTTAAGTATTTGCTATTGACTGTTCAAATGTGGAGTTTTGCGCAGCACAGAGTAACGCGTCGTGTGTGTGTGTGTGTGTGTGTGTGTGTGTGTGTGTGTGTGTGTGTGAGGGGAACAGGGCAACATCACAGGAGAGTGAACTGTCTGTCAGAAATCATAGCACGTCAGCGGTCTTAACCGCAGCTTGTGTACTGCATCATCACTGTGTCTGTCACGCAACTCTGTTGCCCTTTCGGGCTTGAACTGATGCTAAAACTAACAACATTATTAACGGTCTTGATATTTACTTTGAAAGCTGAAGCTGCGATTGTGGTAAGGGGCGTTACATTTCTGACACAAAATTTTTCTAGATTGTCCATGATCCTTGCAGTTCTTTCAACCTCTGGAAACATCTGTAAACTGTGAATAATGTAATTGAGTCAGTCTCTCTACACTCTCAAACGATGTATATATTTATTTATATGTGGATATATTTGAAAACATTTACAATATATTGTATTTTGTCCTTTGGAAACAATATCAACAAAACATATTAATAAAAAAATTGAAATATTCAATGCAATTTTATAAGAAAAGGAGTCGCAATACGGGTCATAAGACTTTATGATGTTTTTAAAAGAAGTATCTTATGCTTGCCAAGCCTGCATTTATTTGATCAAAAATACAGTAATGTTATGAAATATTACTACAATTTAAAATAACTGTTTTCTATTTGAATATATTTTAAAATGTAATTTATTCCTGTGATCAAAGCTGAATTTTCATCATCATTACTCCAGTCTTCAGTGTCACATGATCCTTCAGAAATCATTCTAATATGCTGATTTGCTGCTCAAGAAACATTTCTGATTATTATCAATGTTGAAACCAGTTGAGCTGCTTCATATTTTGGTGGGTCTTTAATTTTTCAGGATTCTTTGATGAATAGAAAGTTTAAAAGAACAGAATTTATTTAATATAGAAATATTTTGTAACATTATACATAAATAAAATGTTTGTGCTTCACAAGTCAGAATATAAAATCATTTAGTAAATAAATAAATAACCAACCATTCTAAATCTCTTCACTGTCACTTTTGATCAATTTAACGCATCCTTGCTGAATAAAAGTATTAATTTCTTTAAGAAAATCATGTTTTTAAATGGTAGCGTATGTGAGAGATGTTATTTCAGGAGATGTGACTATTTGGTCAGCTCGTTTGTGTGCAAAGCTGTGCATTTGACACAAAGTGACCAAAAATAGAGACTGCTAATTACTGAAAACTGGAAAACCTGAATTATTTTGAAAAATCTCATCCCATATTGTTAGTTCAATCCTCAATGCTGATACCAAGGCTGACCGGATAAAACAACTGGATCAGAAATGAGAACCGGTGAAAAAAAGAAAGAGAGAAATAAACCCAGCAGATGTTTGTCCTGTACGCCAATAAGAAGTTGTATTAGCCCTGGCTCTCCTCGCCATCCCCCACAGGTCATTTGCTGGCAGTTGCGGGTCTTACCTTAGTTAAGGATGAGAGGCGAAATCCCTTGGCCCTGTCCTTGCCCGTGTTCTGGTTGAGGTAATTGCCCAAGACCAGAAGGTACTCCAGCACGCTGACAAATGAGTCACAAGTCCACAGCTGCAGGCACATGCGGATCTTCTGGGTAATCAGCTGCAAGACAAACACAGAGGCCAGAACATGTCATCTCCAACTAATCGAAGTGCAAACTTTTTCCTGCCTCTCACTTAACAGGCACTTAAGCGCAGCCAGATTTCTCAGAGGTCCTGTTGACACAGACCGTTCCTGTCAAGTGTATATCGGAGCCTACACAGGAAGTGCTTTTATTTATTATTTGAAGCTGGAACGAAAGTTAAACCTGAGGATTGGTAGCCATCGTGTTAAGGGGTTCTTGCTGAAGTAACAAGTACCAGGAACAATCAACGTCTACCATCCGTCAACAAGGCACTTATTACAAGAGTGCTTGACAAGAACATGTGCTAAATCAAAACTCTAGAACAGAATGGTATATGACTAAGGTTAATATTACAGAAAACAATGCCAGTGAACTACAGTGGATGATCAATTGACAACTTCAAGTCAACATGAAATCAAAATTGACGCTATTTACTTCCTTAATGCACATTCCTGGTGTTCTTGTGCATGCTGCCTTTCTAATCGTTTATCAAAATATAATGGCTTGTTTGGCCTCTGAAACACTGTTCAGCTGATGCCAACTTATAGAAAAATTATAGCTATTTCAGCATTGTTTTAGGCTATGTTGTAAGTAATGCTGCCTTTCTAAAAGCGAGTTAATGCAGTAAATTATGAATTAATTAATTAATTATGCATTTATATAGCGCTTTATTGTGTATTGTTGCACACCCAAAGCGCTTTACAATCATATGAGGGGGTCTCTCCTCAACCACCACCAGTGTGCAGCATCCACTTAAATTAATGATAGCCAAATTAATGCTGGCTAATAAAATAAAAGCTAACATAATAGAAATAATGATAATGATAATTATTATTATTATTAGCATTAGCATTATTATTATTATTATTAGCATTGTTATTTAATATATACAATTATATGGGGCCATGTGATAAATAAATAAATAAACCTGTAAAAAAAGTATTTACCATTTAAAAATTACAATCAAAATAGCTTGTGAATGCAATAAATACTAAGGTGATAAAAGAAAATAATAACAATAACGATGAATAACAATGATAAATAATAATAATAATTACAAACAAACAAATAAATGCTCCAAGTGCTTCATAAGTCACAATATAAAATAATTTTAGAAAATAAATAAATTATTAAAGTGCTTCATAGGTCACAATATAAAATCAATATAAATAAATAAACTAATAACTGATCCAAGTGCTTCAGATGTCACAATATAAAATAATTTTAGAAAAAAATCAATCAATCAATCATTGTTAAAAAAAAAAAGGTTTGCCACTGACAGCGAATGCTGTTTCATGCTAAAAATGGTGTCACAGGATATCACACTGATGTACAGAAAGTGCATTAATACCAGATGCATACTATTTACACCATGACAGTTGTCTAGATATAAAACGTTAGATTCAGTCTGATAAGTTGCATTTGTGAACACTAAACTCACAGTGATACAGACTGAATGTGTAATATTCCCAGAGCCACCCTGGATTACTTCCAATTAAGTTCACCAAATTAGATACACCATATTCATCCAGGCAGTCTGATTTACATTCCTATTAATACCTCAGGAAACAAGTTTATGTTACTCTTGGGGAAAAGCTCTTGTGATTATCCAAGATAAACAGGTAAGGCTGAAAGGTATTTTAAGCTGCTAGCATTAATTGCCAAAGCTGTTTGCGGTATTAGTTATTTTCCAAGCCCTATAACAAGCTGAACCCCTGAGTAAAGAGCAACAGCGAAGACAGCAACCAAAGGAGAAGCTTGATTTGATGTCTACAATCTACGAGACAAACCGTCGGACCATATGCCCGTCTGTTTCCATCGCAACCTTCCCTCTTGCTCACAGACTCAATCAACTTCCTTCCAGCCCTCTGCTTGATTTCTACCTGGTGATTCATACCCTTAAAACACTAATTTGACCAAAGCTAGCTATGCTAATCAACTCCCAGTGGGCAGAAACTTCAGCTAAGCTTCTTTCCAACACTCCACACGAGTGATCTTCTTGCATTTTTCACTCAAACTCCTGCGTTTTGCTCCCCACGTGAGCTCTTGGAGCATAGCACGCTCTCTGTTTACTAAAAGCTCACAATGCCACAAGGAGTTAGCATTCCTCAGAAAGCTCTGAAACAAAAAACAACACACCTAGAGAGCTCTTTGGTATTCCCCACTCTAAGCCAGAGCAATTTTCCACCCTAGCACCCAACCTGTCAGATGGTGGGTAAATCCGCCTTAATGTTACAGGTTTAAAAAGTCAACCATGTCAGACAATCCCATGGATTTAATGGCAACGGTGGAAACAGAATGCTGGGTACTTGTTTGGGAACTCTTAACAATGGAGGACCTTTTCAAGGGGTCCAAACTGAGATACAGGATAACATTTTAAGACACAAATAGCATTGATCTTAAAGGGTTATAGTTCAGCCAGAAATGATCATTACTCCTCCTCAAGTCGTTCTAGACCTGTATGCCTGTATTTCATTCGTCTGTGAAACACCAAGCTAGGTCCAAACAACAACAAAATTGAACCCCATTGACTTTCATTATTTGGACATTTTTCAGATTTCATTTTCTTGTTCCACAGAAAAAAAAGTCGTGGCCTAATGGTTAGAGGAGAAGTCGTGGCCTAATGGTTAGAGAGTCGGACTCATAACCCAAAGGTTGTGGGTTCGAGTCTCGTACCTGCAGGGATTGTAGGTGGGGGGAGTGAATGTACAGCGCTCTCTCCCACCTTCGATACCACGACTGAGGTGCCCTTGAGCAAGGCACTGAACTCCCAACTGCTCCCCGGGTGCCGCAGCATAAATGGCTGCCCACTACTCTGGGTGTGTGTGTGTTCACTGCTGTGTGTGTGTGTGCACTTTGGATGGGTAAATGCAGAGCACTATTTCCGAGTATGGGTCACCATACTTGGCAACATGTCACTTCACTTCAAAAGGAAGTGACACATTGACCTATTTCAATGTGCTTTTTGGGATATTGCAAAACGAATAAATGCCAAGATGTGCATAAATTCCAAAAATGTGCATTAAAAAATTGATTTGAAGAGGATATATTTTTATCCAATAAGAAAATATGTGCATAAACTATGATGGAAGCACATTTACTGAATATATTCTGCTATGTGCATCAAAAACGTTTCGATGGAACAGCGTAACTGGACTAACCAGCAGACTGATCTCGTTGCACAGCATCTGAAATGTTGTTTTGGTCATTCTGAAATGCCTGAGCCAAAGTCTATAGTCAAAGTGGTTCAGTATAATTACACTACTGCATTCCCAAATAGCAAGCATCCGCCTCCGAAAGCACGATTATCATGGCCGCATTTATTGCGTTTTGCCTGCATGCTCTGAGTGCAAATAATTTATTATATACGAAGAAGACTCTGGCTTCTCCTACTGCAGCAAATTACTACTTCTTAGTGATGTTTGGCACCAGTTTATCTGGAAGTTACGATTTTGTTCTCTTTGTCTTGTTGGATTGGAACGGTACTTTATTTGCAAATGTTTTATGCGATATTCCAATTTTGTGCATAAGTTAAGTTAAATTCACTGGATTCGATGGAAACAGCTAATGATGACAGAATTGTCAAACTTTTGTGAATTATTCATTTATCCACCCTCATGTCGTTCAAAACCTGTAAGACTCCTGTTGAACACAAACAGTTCAACAGTTCCTAAACAGTTTCAGTTCCCATTGACTTCCAAAAATACTTTTCCTTTAACATTATGTTCCTTTAAAATGAACATGAAATCAAAATAGACCCAATTTATTTGCTGCAAACACGTTCATCAGTGCAGTTATTGCAAAGAATCAATGATAACTCACTCTATCTTTGAAATGACTAGACCATAAATAATTTACATTTTCTAATTAAATAAATAAATACCTAAAAACGTAATTATTTTAGACTTCTGTTGTAAATCATCTAAAATCTAAAATCTTTCCAACACTAACAGAGTAATTTAATCAAATAAAGGTTACCAGAAAAACAGCAAATAGTGGAAGATTTGGTAAAAGAAGCATTTTCAGATCTGAAAGTGTTACCATGACATTATCTTGTCAATTTGGACATATACTAATAATGATATTAATGATAAATAAATTAACATTTGTTAGGTAATGTATTAAGGATGAACATGAATTAATGAACAATATTATATTTATGAATTAAAATGAACCTAAATTAATAAATGCTGTAAAAATAAGTTTGTTCATTGTTAGTTCATGATATTTAAGGCATTGGCTAGGTTAGGAATTTAACCTTGTAAAGTGTTATAGAAATATAGCAGTTTATAATAAAGTCCCATTAGTTAATGTTAGTTTATGCATTACATTAACTAACAATGATCAATTTGTTACAGCATTAATTTATTTTTTAACATTAGTTAATAAAAATACAACTGTTCATTGTTAGTTTATGTTTGCTCAGGTCAATTAAATAATTAAAAAATCTTTTGTTGAATGTTGAAATCAACAATAAGTAAGATGACAAAAAGTATTTTTCATGGTCAAGTAATGATATTAATAAATAGAATTGTATTGTACAGTGTAACCAAAATGTTACATTAAGAAACTAAAACAGTTTCAAATGTCGTCTGATGCTGCCTTTCAAATTTATTAAACAGCATTACATGTGCCCCGTCAGAATATTTAGTTTAACATTTAGTCAAAGGGCTCATGTATATTTAAAAAAACGAGATCAGACATGGTGATGCCACCAAAAACTCATTCTGTTTAGACAGATTTTAATATGCATGGAAAATGGGAGCATAAATAAATAAAAGTAGCTGAAGTTGTCAAACGAAATGCTATGTGCATGTGCATTTTCAGGGTTTCTGCAGGTTTTATGAAGGTAAAATTAAGACTTTTTTTAAGATCAAGTAAAGAAAATTTATGGAATAAACTGAAAGGGAACACAATGCAGCAATATTTTCAGTAAATGTTTGGGAGTGCAGAATGAGTTGTATTAGCAGTATTAACAGTTTTAAAATACAACTTCCAACAGATCTTTTTAATTGAACGCGCTCAGGACAGTTGGACATTGCGGTGGATCAGAGGTAAAAAATGATATAAATACTGTTCAGTTTCTTGCACAGACAGATCGTTTCCTGTCTTAAGATTTCAATTGTAGCGAATCAGCTCATGGGAAATATGAATAATTAACCATAACTAGTTATAATTAACTATTCATATTTTAGATCCACTGTAGATATTTAGCTGACCACTCAGGGTCAACCGTCTTGTCAATTCTAAGAACGTTAATTTCCTGGTTAAAGGAAATAACTTTCTTACTGTACAATTCTATAAGTTTGTAACGTAAATCTGCATGATTATTGACTCCGGTTATGAGTCCCTGCTTTACATACTTTTGGCCAATAAACCCAGTGATATCAGCGTTGGTTGCCATGCAACAAAGAGGCCTGTTCGGTGGTCCTGGGGTGTTACGCATTCCGGGGGGAAGGGTCCATGGGTCCTCATATGGCTTGTTAACTGAGGTTACAGAGTATTTGTCATATAAAAAGAGAATATATAGTGTGTTGGATTGGTCCAGACGCTACACAATGTATAGTCACGAGCCGCAGGATTTAATTTGGTTTTGTCTGTGTATGTTTTTTTTTTACTGTCAAAGCTGTGGAGCCCATTGACTGCCGTTATAAGACTGACAGACTGCAACAGTTCGAGTTAAAAATCTTCGTTTGTGTTCTACTGAAGAAACAAAGTCACCTACATCTTGGATGCCCTGGGGGTAAGCAGATAAACATCTTTTCATTTTTGGGTGAACTATCCCTTTAATTTCACTTCATAACATAATTTTACAGAAAACAATAATTCATTAATTTTACATCTCAAGTAAACGTATCTTGATTTAAGGATGTTTACATATTTGAACTGGAAAACAAGACATGAATACTAAGGAAGATATATATATATATCCAATTTAAGACTATTAAATGCCTTGATTTGTAGAAGGGTGAATTTAGACTGTTTAAAACCTGCTGAAACCCTGATTCTCACTACTGACACAAAAGTGTGAGCGATTCAAATGACTTCCGGCATCTTTGACGACAATCGGTGACATGGCCGTTGCACAGCAAGGTGGACAGAACAGCAGAATCTGCTAAAATAGCTGTCAATTTCCTGAGGTGAAGACGTAAGCCCTACTGACACCCCGAATGCTGAGTCAAGCCGATTCCGATGCCGTATAACACCCATAACCTCTGGAAAAATCCCATACGCGTCCGTGATCCTGACCTCCACACTTACTGGCTTAAACTTCCAGCCAGTATATAATCATCTGTTCACACAGAAAAGCTTGTGAAGATCAATGTCACGTCTTTGCATACCATTTCAGACCACAGAGTGAACTTAGCATCAGAATGAAATGTATTCAATAGTGCAGAACAGAAGAGCAAGATGGCTATAGAGAAACTCAAATAAAAACTAACTTTTGAGATGCGCTGAAAGTACAAGAGGGATTTCAACCTTTTTTTACTCACAGGTAGAAAAAGCCTTCAGAGTGCTCTTTGGGCTACATCTCCTCCTGCCCACCACTTCCTCTCTCTAACTAATAAATGACTTGAAGGAAATTTGCCATTAGAAACTCCTTCAGCCCACTCCAAGTGCTGATTCGTTGCGAACAGAACCTCTGTGTATTAATGCATGCTTCTTTTTTTCACCTCAAGTCCATTTCATTTATTTTTCTGAGCGCCTGCTGTCTGCCAAGATTATCTTTTGCATTAGTAAATGAGCTTTTTATTCTATCTCTTTGTTTTTTCCCTCTCCATTCAGCTGTGTGCCTTGGGAGCCACCTTTGCGAAGCTTCAATACTGATTTCCTCCAGACGTACTTCAAGACTTGAGTTCACATGAGAAGGTTTTTCCATAAACAAACTTTCATATGTTTCTTCTGTCAATCATAATCATCAGTGCAGCGTGGTGCTAACTGTGAAATAAAATGCCAGCGCGCATACAAACATGCAAATTAATACACACACACAAACACACTGCTTATTGTAACTTGAAAGTAATAATGAACGCATCCAAAAGAGTCTCACTTTCTGAAATAAATGCATTCTGTACTGGCAGCTTATTTTGAATGTGCCCTATCGGTAAGCAATTCAGCAGAGTTCAGAGAATAAGAGACGGGGAAAGCAAGGGAAACAGAGACAGGCCAACACAAACATGGCTGACAGGTGCATATGAGGTGTTTGTAATGCGAGTCTGACCGGCGTGAGGTCCTCCATACAGATGGGCAGCTCTCGCATCGTGAGCAGCAGGTCCAGACGGGCACTGAGGTTCGAGATGTTGCACATCTGAGGAAGAGGTGATATATCATAAGACGGCATGGACAATGTCAACACTGTAAAAAAAGACTGTGAATTTAACGGTAAAAGACTGTAAAAATGCTACAGTAAAAACCTGTTAAATGGTTAACTGTAAATTCCCCTACTATATATGGTTAAAAACTGTATTGGACATTACATGTAATTTTACGGTAGTATACCGTTTTTGGAAGTGAAAAGACCATATAATTTACAGTGAATAACCGTAAATTGACATTCCCAGAATTACCTGAGTTACATTTCAAATTTGATGTTGTTTTGTTGAAATAACTATGTTTCTTCTTAGTTGTTTCTTATCAGTTTTGTATATTAGCGTTGTATGTTACACCTAATGTTGTTAAATGAACGTTTATTGCATTATTTCAGTTTCATGTGTGTTACCATGATGGTGTTTAGTGTTTGTGTGAATGACACTGTGCACCTTCTATATATGCTATTATTTAAAAACTTGCGATTCATCATGTGACTTTCTCATCACCACCTGCATTTGGTGGTTATCAGTGTATTACAAAGGTACAAAACAGATTTCAGTACTTCA